TGGTTTAGTCTACTTATTACATCCAGGAATAGTTCAAAAAGAAGCCTGAATTGTTATCTGACATTTTCTTTTTACCTAAAATAATTTACCTAATTTATTGTCTGAATTCAGATTCGCCTCCTTTATTTTTTGTAAATGAGAAGTGCAGACTGATAGTATGGGCACAAGACTGAAAGCAGAATACTTCAAAGGTGGAACCCTTACCTTTCTTGGACTCAATAGGTATTTTGCTACTGACATTTTTACGACTGAGATTTTATCCTCAGTGTCTAATGCTGAGATTTCCAGGACATTTATTTGTACTGTTTTTATTTATGCTTTGCGTAAGTCAGTAAGATTTATGCACATTCACTTTGTGAAAACTGTGTGAATATAACTTGAGTAGAAATTTTTTGAAGAATTTTACAGAAGTCAGTGGAATATGAAAGCTATACTACCACTCATGGTTTTGATCATATTCTCTTAGAGTCTTCACAGTCACCAGAGAAAAATAAGCCAGTACAAATAGGGCTGCCTTTTAAATATTGTGGATACAAAACATTACATTTCTGACCAAAGGAAATATTGTAGTTTTGTCTGCTACTCTTTTGATGCAATTTTACTACAACTTCTTTTGGTGAAAATTCGCATTAACTGTTTGCCTCACCACCGCAGATGTCAGAACATTTCCTTCATGCACATGCTTGGCATGTATTTGAATAGAGAAGCTGAAAGATTGTTTGAAAGAGAAGCACAGGCTTAGACTTTAGGTCTGGCAGAATACTGAACTTCAGAGAAAGAGAAGTTAAGGATCAGGCAGAGAAAATTATCATAGTAGGTAGCACATGCACTGTGTATGCTGAGCACCTCTCCCAGTCCTCTGAAGAATGGAATTTGGTAGTGGGCTTCAGACAGTCTGTTCATGTGAAGTGAGTCTCATCCTGAGCATCATAGTTGAGCTGCATGTGGCTCAGCCTTATTTGTAAAGTGGAACAAAGACTGAGATTCAGAGTACACAAAAAAACCCTACAAAATTTAGATTAGAAAATAGAAAATAACAGAAACGATGAACTCCCAGGCTAGATTTCTGCAACTGTATAAGTTTTGCATTTCGTTAGTATAGCTGACTGCTATATGAGAGATGGAGCTCTGCTCTGTGGTTTTGGAAGTCTTTTCCAAACCAGAGCTTAGAAAGATTGTATTCTATGTAGTATTTCTTGATTTCTGGAGCACAGTAGTTGATTTTTGTCAACCGCAGCAACTTCTGCTTTTTTTTCCCAACATACCCTTTCCTCGCTTTTCTTTATCTGACAGGAGCTTGCAAAACCATGGTCGCACTGTAGAATATGTTTGGAGGAAGGTATCTGAACAGTCACAATGTTTTGTATAATTGCCATGATTAGCATGATTGGTTCTCTCCAACCGCTACTATCTTCCCCAAGAACGACTTGCTGTCATAACTTGATGTGGGAAGCAAAGCAGCCTCTAGCACATGGTGACTGACCTCTGCACTAGAATTCAGTGGCAGATTCAACTTATCACAGCAACTGTGAAAGGGGTTTTAGTACTTTATCCCTGGCCCTTGAATTTTCGTCTTTTCCACAGAATGTGCTCCACTGAGAATATGAAGAGATGCAGTAGCAAGAGAAGTGAGGCATTAACAAAATGAAGGGACAGAATATCTAGCATGAAAATAGATGGAATAGAGTCTGAGTCTTCTGGGAGTTAGCTGTTTAGCCTCTGCCTTTCAGCAAGACAAGAGAGAACCAGAGTAATCTTTCTCTGCTCTCAACTCTTCTTTCTCCCTCTCTTGATTCATCACATCACTCTATATTCTGTCCTTACTTTACCTCACCTTCTTCCCAGCTTTATTCCCTACTCAGTTCACAGAAGTTCTTTGGCAGCACAGTTCTCTCTACTGCACTACATTCTGTGACTCTCTGAAACCTGTTTTTCTGATAAGCCTCAACCTTCTCTGTCCATTTTCTCTCCCTTGGTAGGCAAGTCACTAGTTCAAAGCCAGAAACACTTTTGCTTACATCTTCATTTGCTGGAGGGGAAAAAGCTTTGCAGTCAATGTGAAATAACCACTGGACATTGATACACACTGCATAGGTAATAAAATACATGTATGACTATGAAAATGTGACTGTTTTATAGAAATCTAATATTCATTTTAATTAGATCCCTATACAATACAGCAACAGAATGGAATTTTTCTCTTCATTTTTTTTCAAGATCTTGGAATCAATTGTTTTCTGACTCCTTAATTTATATGTTACTGTTGAGCTAAGTTCATGTTTACAGTCAGTTCTGAGAATGTCTGCTTATTTGTGAGGCACTGGGAATAAGAAGACCGTGACTGCAGCAATGTTGACCACACAAACTTACAGTGATCCTTTTTGAAGATAAGCATTACTTGATTATCATGCATCAATAGAGAAAGGTAGCACTAAGCAGAATTTTATTTAGAATTGGTTTTGCTGTTGGATTTATACTTCTCAGAAGAGGTTTCAGTGTCATGTCACACAGAACAATTAAATGGACTGTTGGGTTGACCTTCCACATAGGAAAATTCAACTTATTAATTTTTTTCAAATAATTCTGGAGCAAAATAAATATATTTAGTTAGCAAAATTTCTGTGAAAGTATGTCTGAATTCTTCTGTTAAAAAATAAAGTAATACTACCATGATTGATATTTGCTTAGCTGATTTTTGACTAAATCATTTCACTTGATACAAACTTTTTATTCATAATTAAAAAAAAAAAGCAACAAAAAACACAAGATATGATGGCGTGTATTTAAAAAAAAAAAAAAAAAAAAAGACAAAGTCTCATGTTCCCAGGACCTGTTCTATGTCCTATAACCTCATGTTCTGTTAGTCAAAACTTTTGCTTTATCCCATTCTTCCAATGCTTTGCTGGACTCATTCTGCTTTTAGTGCAGCAAAACACACGGTTTCTTTCAGAACTACAGTTAACAAGAATGATGACATTATGCTACCAAGCTTTTAAACAAGAGTGTTATAAAACCTGTAAAACCATTCCAGGGTAACTTTAACATTAGAGTATCACTCTTTGTAGTCTGTTCCCAGTAGAACAAATAATGGTTTTCCTCCTTGATATTAGCTTTCATTTGATTCACCAAAAACTCTAAAAGCAGTCATTATTTACATATAGATTGAAAGACGGGGAAGCTAAGTCCCAAGGACAGGAAAAAACAGCTATAGAACATACCACTCTGAATGTTGAAACTTATATTGTGCCTTGTCCCTTTGACCACTAGACATAGTCCCATATGTTCAGATTTTTTGATGTTTTAAAGAAGAGGTCTGGGGGATAAGAGAAGAAAAAATGCCTCAGCTCCAAAAGGATGTATCATAGAACAGCATGCCTTTGGAAGGAAACATTAAAATGAAAAGAGTTGTTCTACAGTTTGTTTTGTGTGTCAGAAAATGAAGAAAAATTATTTTAAATGGCAGAGAAGCATCCTGCTCTTACCTTGTTCTGTTGCTATTGTCTGTTGGTTAGTTGTTTAGTTTTCCTTTCCAGATTTCAAATAAGGCAGCCTAATTAACAGAAGTGCAGTCATAAAGGCGAGACATTGTGGTTTGCTGTATTCCTTCAAATCTGATTTTAGCCTGCTTGAATTTTTTGTGTACAAACATGCTGCCCGTGTTCCCAGAAGTGAAGAATGTAGTCTGCACACAGACTTTCCATTGCATGGCCAGATCTAACATCTAACATGTCAGTTGCACTTGCATTTTAAATGACTGCATGTATTCATATGAATATACAGTTATATGAAAGGGAAGATTGATATTAAACAAATGTCAGCCTGTGTAAGTGGAAGGACTTATTATGTTTTATGGAGATTTTTTTGGCTAAAGTCTTTTGTCAAAGCTTTACCATCACAGATGTGCAGGTGTTATTTCCTGGCTTTCACTGTGGAATTGAATAAGCAAGCACCCAAATTAACTTGTTAAACATTTTGGAGGGCATTTCCGGAGAAAAATATCTTAGAGATCCTGATTCCCTCTTCCCTAAAAGGAAAATAGTTATTCAAACTATCAAAAGGGAAAGGATTTCCTAATCTTTAACTGGTAATGCTCTCAAATAGCAAACGACAAAAGCTCAGTGTTAAACAAACTGCAGATTAAGCCGTGTCTCTTCAAAGACATTTGTTTCTGTTATGACTTGTGACTCCAAATTCTGGTCCAGAACACAATGAATTGCAACTTTGTGTGTGTGCGTGTGTGTGTGTGTGTGTGTGATTGTAGAAATACAGTGAGTTTACCTACTTCTCATGCAGAATAAAGCTCACTGTTTCTCAAATAATTCATTTTACATGAGATTTTTATTAGCCAGATAAACTGTTAGGTCAGTTTATCCAAGATGCATAAAACAGCTTTGGGCTTTATTAGCATCATAACAACTAATTCTAAAGACATTAATAAATATTTTACCTTTAATTTATGTTTTATAATTGACTGAAAGATTCTGTTTTCCAAAGAAAACATACCTTTTGGAATACTGTTTGTGCTCTTCTGAAGTGAAGATATGTTTTGGAAGAATAGCTGACAAATGTGAGTGTCTCTGAGAGGGAAAATATTCAATCAAAATGGATAAATATTCACTTGTGTACACATATTTTCTTTTTAATACTTTTCCACCTATGTTACAATTTCAACATATAAAATTATTTAAATTTAGAAATGATACATTGATTAAGGAAAAAAATTTGCGTTTACATTGATCTTCTATTGCCTTCAGTACTATTTTTGTAAGTAAAACATTTTTCTCAATATTGCTTCACAACTTACAGCTGTTTAGATAATTAATTTGTCTTATAGCATTCCATCTCATTATCTGTACCTCATTATCAGTTTCACTGTTAATGGAAATATTTCCCAAATTAACAAGATTTGAAAAACATGTATCTTGTGTACTGTAGTAAGAAGTTAATAATCTTTCTTAAAAATTCTCATAATATGTGACAGTACTGGCTTCTGTCATAGCTTAGATGAGGTTACCAACTGGCAAACGGGGTAGACACATATATGCATAAGGGGTTTTGCTCAAGTTGATTGGATTACCATCCAGTCTGATGTCCTCAAGAGCCCTGCGGACATAAGTGAAATCTCTCATTTTGCAGAAAGTATCTTCGTGCATCTCTTGAATGTTGTTGTTCTAAAAAAAAAAAAAAAAAAAAAAAAAAAAAAAAAAGCCCAAGCTGTCTGTTAGAATAGTGGCTTGAAAATAAATTTTTAATCTTTAAAGAAAAAGCTATTGATATATTTGCTGTGTCTAGGGAGATAACAGAATTTGAGATTGTGGCTACAAGTGCTCAGCTGAGAAATCTCCTAAGCAGAGGGAAAAACTTTTGTCTGGTGCAGTTTCAGAACTAAATAACTCAAAGAATATAATAGAGCATTATCATTTTGAGAACAACAGCCTTATTAATGCAACTTGGAACCAGCATAGGACAGTCCAAAAGTCATTGAACATACATCACTATCTTAACAGATTGATGTGCCTCAACCTGTAAAGGCACAAATCTGGAAATTAATCTGTGGTAAATTACTTCTCCCCCAGGCCCTCTGACGTTAGCTTAATCCACATCTGTACACATACAGGGAAAATTATATGTTTTAGAGTTATTCCTTTGATGTAAATTCTTCTTATATACCTTTTCTTTACTGAGCTTTCATTCTTTAAATGAACTGTTACGAGCAGTGAATTGCTTGAATCCAAGATTGTCTGGAAATTAGAACTAAAAAAGTCACCTCTTAAAGTGAGGATTGGCTCAAAATTATTCCTTATTACTTTATTAGTCAGAAACTGGTGTGGAAAGAATACAGCTCACTAGCTTTGGTCTGTAACACATAGCACTGAATTCATTCTAGCAATTTATTTTCGAATAATATTGCATAACAAAATCTAATAATTTTTAACTGAACTAAATTTTACTTATTTCAAATACTGCAATAATTACTTAATTTTATGTGTCCAATAGTTTATTTGGGTCAAGCACATAGACTTTTGGATAAACAGAAGAAAGAAAACAAGATAATATTCACACTTTCCAGTTTTACTTGCTATAATTAACATGATACATAGTACCACTACTGTGTAGCCTACCTGAAGATGAAGTGCTTGGAGGCTTTCAGGGAGTGGCAATGGAACGTGATCCAAGTTATTGTCAGTGATGTAAAGATGCTGTAATTCATGCAGATCCTAGAAGATGAAGAATAAAAGCAGGTGAGGATGTTAAAATATTTTTGAAAATCTTTAGCAAGTAAATTTGAAGTCTATCACTACGATTATCTCTATTGAAAACTAACTACTTTTGCTTCAGCATTATATGGATGAAAAGGCAGAAACTCAAAGACAGTTAAGAACTTTCATTTGCACAGGCAGAAAGTTATTCCTGTCAAAGATTAACTGTTTGGATAAAAATAAAGGAAAAAGGACTTTGTAAACGTCTTTAATTAGAAACTTCATTTCAATTATGTTGAAAGTTGAAAATAGTGCCTCTACCAGTTATGCAGAAAGGCTTCCCTATTTTGTCTGTTTTCTTGTTTTTGTGATAAACTTACTCAATTTTGCAGAAGCTCACTGATGTTTAAAAATTTTAACAACATGAGAAATGCTTAATCTAAGAATAAAATTCAATTTGAAAAGCTAAATGATTTTCTCCACAGTTTAGTGGAAGAAGCAGCTTCATCTGATGATTACAACAATATGAAGATATAAACTTGTCTAGGTCAGTAAAGCTCAGTAGAATTCTCTCATTTTTCTTCTTCTGTTACTCACCGGAGTGAACACAGTACCCAACGATTTGCTGGAGTACAGTGTTTTCGTTTAATTCTTTTCGGCAGGGATTTTTGAGACACCAGAGTGAAGGTGCTTGGTAAATATGGAAGGGAAGGGCTGAGAGCTCCCCATGCAGAAGAAATAGGTGCTAGGCCAGAGTCTCAACTTCTGGGCTGATTTTTGTTTATCATTCCTACTCCCACTACTTTCCTTATATTGGGCTAGGCAAAAATGTCTGACTCAATAACTGGTTGCTATTGGTTGCTTCCCTTATAAGCTATCTTCCAAAGGAGGAGTTCAGACACAGTTGGTTACAACTAGTTTCTTACGTGGTCCACATGAGCCAAGTCTAATGTGTGAAGCTAATTATATTCTCTTTGGTGTTTACAGTACAGTCTAATGACTTCAGATTTCACACACAATTAGAGATACTACATGGCTGCTTCTCTCCACCAAAATTTCTGAGGAAGGGTGATCACTCAGAGGTTCCAATTTCAAGATGGGAAGAAAGTGTATTCATTTAATGATCTACTCTAGCACATTCCCATGTAGATACAAAGCAGAATAATTTTGAAGCAGTGGCATCCATAGCTTTTCTGTGCCATCTTGTCTGCTTGTAAGAGGAGATAAAGCAGCTTTCTGGAGCCTGTCCTCCCTGTGTTTTGTTAGCAGTGTGGATGATTGGCTTGTAGATACAGTATGCCATCCTATGTCTTGTCTGGATCTTCATTAAAAAAAAAAAGAAATAGGGCTTTAATGTTCAGCCAGTAGTGTTCATTCATCTCGTTCCATTTTTATTGCTTGCCTGGCAATCAGCACAATAGCAATGTCTATAACCTCAATAGCTTTACTACTGCTGGAGAGATATTTAGGCTGCTTTTCAGACCACATCATACTTCAGTTTGGAGAGAGGAAGAAAGGATTTTCCTGTGAAAGCTGCACTTACTTTAAATGCCTCATTACGGATTCCCTTGCGACCAAGCCTGTTGTTGCTAATATCAATGAAAGTCAAGGTAGATGGCAGCTCAGGAAGTTGCCTTATCCTGTTGTCACGGAGCACAAGTTCCTGAAGTTGGGGCAGTCTCCGGAAGGCATCTTCATGGATCTCTGATATTAGATTCGCAGTCAAATCAATCCTTTTTAAGTTATCTGGCAGAGAAACAAGATGCAATGAGCATTTCTCAATGTATTTCTTGAAACTTAAAAAAAAAGAAAAGAAAAAAGCAAACAGCCTATTTAAATTACAGGTGAAGAGCTTTAAATCGGGTACATTTGTAACTCTGAAGGTAATTCCTTCTGTTTATTTCCATGGAAATGCCACAGATACTTCAGAAAAGATAATTCACATCTAATGTTTCTAGCAAAAGGGATCAACATCTCCCTTTCAACCTGCTTAAAAATTTTTGTGTCATTCATCATACATCTTTCAATAAAAGAAGTCAGTAATTGTTAAATTCACATTTGTTCTGGAAATATTTTAAATGATTATCTTTTGAAAAAGAAAGTTTAAACGGAAATAAAAATAATCTCTTCTATTTGGTCCCACAATGTTGTCACCATTTTCCTACTGGAATGTAATGTAAGAAATTGCATATGTTGACTTTTTTTCTAAAATACATTCCAACATTTTTTCCAGTTGAAAAAAATATTACAAAATGAAACTTACTTTAAACAGAACATATAAATATCAATGTATTGATATGCATGGACTTGAACTTTAAGTCAGTTAATCTGTGGTTTAATTATAATTTTATCCAGAATGTTTTTCATCATTAATCATTATTTTATTTTATTTAACATTTATTTAACTTTTTTTCTCATTGTGCCGTCTTTTATTTTTTTCTACTAGCAGTGTATTTAGGCTTAAATAACTTTTAGGTTTTCTAAGTGTTTCTTGCCCTTGTTTTATTTATAAATGGAAAATGTGTCCCTTCCCAGCTTTCATCTTACTGTGCTGGCCAATCCAAGCACTTACAGTTTGCTTTCATAGAGAATCTTTTATTCCCTTTAATTATTACAGTAGCCTTTTTTTGACAGTGATTCAACACTTTTCAGCATTAAATCTATAAGCATTTGTTACATAAAGTTAGTCTAAAACACACAATAGAGAAAGTGGATCGATCATCAGATTGGTAAGTATAAAAATCATGTATCTTCAAGATGGCTCAAGTAAGAAACTGGAAAATTGAGGCTTTCAAGATTACTAATTTTGGCCAGTTCAGGCCACACAGGATTTTGAATTAGAATTTTTCATTTACTGAAGAATTTCCTAGATAGTTCTGAAGTAAATCTACCTACATCTACCTAGAAAAATGGTACATTCTGATATGCTGCAAATATTCCATTGGTGTTTCTTTGTTTGTTTGTTTTTGTTTTATTTTTTTCTATCTTCCTAAAGTTTATTGCAGGTAACAGCAAAAACACAGATGAACTTTATTATTTTAGTAATTCAAGATTTTGACAATATTTGAAGTACTGATTTCTAAGCAAAGCAAGCCACTTTTCTATGTGCATTTATATGTATAATGTTACTAGCATCAAACATAATGTATAATGAATCACAGTGCCAGGAAGAACAGAAAATAAAGATATTTGGAAAAACAGTATTTTCCATACTTAAGTTAGCAAAGTCGTTTTTGTTTATCTTCCTGATTCGGTTGTAGCGTGAGTAGAAATACGTGGTTTTCTTAGGCAGTGGTGGAACAGCATCCAGCTCGTGGTCATCACAGTAGACTGTTGTTCCTAGGCATGTACACAACAGGCACGTGGGAAGGCCTGTGAAAGAATTTAGAAGAGAACTGACTGTTTGGACAAAAAATGTCCAAAAGGATATGTAAAATAATATAATGAAATACTCACCTAAGCATATAAAGGATTTTATTGATGCTAAAGGTAAATCCTATTCCATCTTGATCACCAAAACATATAATTACAACCAAGTGATTAATTTCTGCCTCAAAAATAATTACTTTTTTTTCCTAACTATGCCTTTTGGAAGGGCTTTTAAAATATTTCTTAGGATACTGTGTGTCCCAAGTTAGAGCAATAGAACACTACGTGGCAGCAGCAGCCAAAGTTCAATTTAACCCTAATCTAGCATGAGTTCACTTCCATCTAGAAGGGAAAATTAACAGCCAGTGACTGAAACTTAAAATGATTTCCTAAATCTGTTTCCATAAATAGTATTTCTAAGTAATGTGCAGGGAAGTTAATATTTTCAGAGCTATAGAGAACTTTAATTTTTTATTTAGGAACTTTTTATTTAGATTTAATGATTCAGAAATGTAATGTCAGGAAAAAAAATTTCTTTCTATCAGTCTGAGTTAAGGTAGTTTGAAGACTGTGTTAATAGTTACCACCAGAAGGAAAATGAAAAAGCAACACATTTCTTCCTAATCATATAACTGTATGCAGACAGTGAAATCACGTGTTTCTCATATTATACTGCTCAAATGTTGTGAGAATTGTGACAACAACTGAATGTTCTCAATGCTATTTTGTGCAGAAAAAGTTGCTAGTTGCTATGAGTGTTCTATTTTTTATACATTCTTTGAGTACTGGTATAAATCATAGAATCAGAGAATCAGAGAATCAGAGAATCAGAGAATCATAGAATAGCCTGAGTTGAAGAGGACCACAGTGATCATCTAGTTTCAACGTCCCTGCTGTGTGCAAGGTCGCCAACCAGCAGACCAGGCTGCCCAGAGCCACATCCAGCCTGGCCTTGAATGCCTCCAGGGATGGGGCATCCACAGCCTCCTTGGGCAACCTGTTCCAGTGCATCACCACTCTCTGTGTTAAAAACTTCCTTCTAATATCTAACCTAAATCTTCCCTATCTCAGTTTAAAACCATTCCCCCTTGTCCTATCACTATCAATCTATGTAAACAGTTGTTCCCCCTCCTGCATATAAATGCTCCCTTCAAGTACTGGAAGGACACAATTAAGTCTCCCCTGTTTCTCATCTTTTACTGCCATATAAATATTCCTCTGTTTCATGTTTCTTCCCTTTTAGTAGCAGATACCTGGTTGTTCTGATTAGTTATAAACTAGTAGCATAATTAATGAGTATGGAAGTATTATTTTTGCAGATTAGATTTTTTTCCAGACCAGCTGTAGAAGATTTGCCTTCTTAATCCATGCCAGTTATCAACAATAAATAGTAACTAGCTGAAGGGCAAGCTATACATGTGGTATCTTTTCAGGCAAGATTAAAGATTAAAGATGACCAGAATAGTGTTATTTGTTAATATCTACTTGGGTAACTATAAGGATTAAACTCTTATTTCTAATTTCCCTAACTTCTTTCAATGGGTGGTTTAAACTAGTTACAGGAAGAAAACAAACTGTCATACCTTGAATCATTCCAAAAATTTTAGACCTAAATGAATGCAGAGTTGAGAATGGCTGATTTTATTCTTTGAAATATTGCAACACAGTACAGGAAGAGCATTTCTTATGTCCCATTTGAAAGACTTGTACTTATCACTTTGTCTAGAGTAGGCTAAAAAAGGATAAGCGTAGGGTAAGGATTCAAAAATATGACAAAAAGATAAATGAACTTGGCTTGATGTTCCTGGGCTTTGTAATCTTCTGTCCAGTGTGAAGCCAAGAACAGCAGCAAAATCTGAGAGGAAAATATGTTGCTGAAAAAAGTAAAGGCATCAAAGAATCTTATTAGACATGTTACAGCCCCTGGCCTCCCGCATGCATCTTTTCATTTGATGCACTAGTTGGTTTACATTCAGTGCTGAAAAACTGATAGATGAAGTATTCATCATATGTAATATGTATGTGAAATGTTATTCTAATTTCCTGAAGTTTTAAGAATTGAAGGAAGTTGTGAGGGTTTTTCAGGATTCTCCTGGGAAATTGACATTTCCACTTCTGTTTGTTTTGGCTTATGTATAATGTTTTCGTCTGGTCAATGTTCACTATTAATAGAATAAAAAAAACAGACTAAAACATTATTCATTTCTCCTCATCAGACACACACAATTTTGGATGCATGAGCTTTTCTATTCATTTATCTTCCATGGCACTCAAGTATTTTTTTAAGCATGGTAAAAAAAATTTAGGCTTTTTCTGTTGCGTGTTGATCACTATACAACACAGACTCATCACAGACATGAATAACTACAGTAGCCTTCAACTATGGGTTTAGAGTTACTACTAGCAAATCCTAATTATTAGAATCACAATCTTGTGTGGGAAAGGGACAGATTATGTTTTGCAATTTTAATTTTTCTGTGATATGTGGAAAGCTCTTCTTCAGAATCAGATAAAAAAATTAGTTACACTGGAAATTTCTAAGCTGTTCTCCTTTCTAGAGTTCCTAACTTTTTATGATCAATTCTTCACTTTTTTTTGTATGAAAATATTATCAAAATAATTTAATGAGCATAGTTAAAATGTTATTGGAATCTAAGTCAATAAAAATGTGGTGGCAGCATTTCTAAGCTTCTAAATTTTTTTAAAGTAAAAAAAAATTGAAAAATGTTTTAATTGATTCAGAGCTATTTTCATAGGGAAACAGCATGGCAACCCTTTGACTAAGCATGTATCTGATTTCAGGGCATTCAAGATAGGCCACAGTATACCTCTGCAATAACAGAGATGCAGAAATGATACATCTGATGGGAGAAAGTTGAGGTAGATGTTCCTAAGTGGGCAAAGTGGGCTCACTCAAAAGCAATGTTCCGCATGTAAATCTTGTTCCTTTATACTAACCATCTTGAGTTTGGGGCACAAGAACCCCAGACCCTTGTGCAGAAGATCCATCAATTAATTTTGGTGTTGATGCTTCTTCCTCAGTTTCTTCTGTCAGTGGTGCAGAAGAATAACTCTCTTGAATTATAGAAGGTATCGCAGTCCCAATCTCTGTCTGGGAAAAAAATTGAGAAATGTTACTGTTTACTTTCACTGGCAGCTGTTTGTCTTCCAGTTACTTACAATCTGCCAGTAGAGGTCACGTAAGTTCTGAAGTTTAGTGCTCAAGCTGCATTTTATCAGGCAGCTATAGTGAATTCTGGTGGTGTGTAAACAAATCACAAAACTTCAGCATGCTTATTCTCTTTTTATCTTAATTTTTAAATGTGCTGTATGCACACATGAATGCAAGCTGCATATATTTCATTAATAAGAACATGTACTTACAAAATACTTTTATCTGCTTTATTTAAACACATCATTTTTCTGAGAAAGCTGGACATCCTCTGTGTGACAATGAAGTAAAATTTGCTGTGAAGCATCAAAAATATGCCTGCCATTTATCCATAATAGTGGTAATCGGATCATCGTAAATTCATAGAATCATAGAATCATAGAATCACCAAGGTTGGAAAAGACCTAAAAGATCACCCAGTCCAACCGTTCACCTATTCCCAATAGCTCCTACTAAACCATGTCCCTCAACACAACATCCAGCCTTTCCTTGAACACCCCCAGGCTCGGTGACTCCACCACCTCCCTGGGCAGTCCATTCCAGTGCCTGACCACCCTTTCTGAAAAGTAATACTTCCTAATGTCCAGCCTGAATCTCCCCTGCCGTAGCTTGAAACCATTCCCCCTGGTCCTATCACTAATGACACGAGAGAAGAGGCCGACCCCCAGCTCACCACAACCTCCCTTCAGGAAGTTATAGAGAGCAATGAGGTCTCCCCTGAGCCTCCTCTTCTCCAGGCTGAACATTCCCAGCTCCTTCAGCCTCTCCTCATATGGCCTGTGTTCCAGACCCCTCACCAGCTTTGCTGCCCTCCTTTGAACACGTTCAAAGCTGTGAAGCCACTGTTATTGTTTTAAAAACAGTAACATACTTTTTAGAAGTTATTATTCAAGAATTCTGTAGTTTAAGTGAATGCAGTACTTGCTAACATGTCATGAGTATTTTTGTCAAAATTCGTTCTTAACGTGAAAAACTGAACATCCTAATTAGCTTCATTCATTTGTGGATGCGTTATGTAAGAGGGAGAATTAAAAATGCAAATAAAAGTTATTAGATAAAATACTGATTTAGAAAAATTCTATAAAATTTGTCAGATCTCGTTGCAGAACAAGAAATTATTTTTTCTTCTTTAAATCCTCTATTGAATACAATTAAGATATTTAGTCAATTTTGATGTGATAATTCTAAAAATCATATGATTTTGCTATAGGACAACTTCAAAATAAAAAACTAAAATGTGGGAACTTTCTCATGTCATATCATCTCTCATAAAAACAGTGTTGTAGACTCACCAAGCTTGTTGCTGGAGCGGCCCACATTTGCAAAAAGGCAGTGCAGTTTCCTGTAATCACCCAGACACTAAGAATGCACTGTAGTTATCTAACCTCTGCATTCTGCTTTTCTGCTGTATCTTGATTTCCCCATGTTTGAGCCCTTCAGGCTGTCCTTTGAAAATGCACTTATTTTTTAAATCCAGAAAGTGAATTAGAGTTCTTATGGTGCTTTGCACATTGAGGTGCTGTTTAAATGTTAGTTAAAGTATACTCCTCTTCGGTTGCTGCACCTCAGTGCTGCAGTTAACACTCCTTAGAGTCTATCTAAAGTAGAGTATCAAAAGTAGGATTTTTATCTCAGTACCTTCACCTTGCACAAAGGCACTCAAATGTAAAGTTAAACTTTATAAAGTATTTTCCTTTACTGCAGCTTCCTAGCACAATGTGATAAAGCTGTTGAATTCTGAGTTTCTCACCTGGCAACTTCTCTTACTTCTACATCATTACCCCTTTACTGCTAGCTTTGCTGTCCCATTGGAGAACTGGTTGTTCAAGTTGCTCACACTCATGTCCATAAATCATAGTTGTAAAGGCCAATAAAAGATGTAGATTGCATCCATATGGGACAGGTCTTTAGGAATTTTTAAAATTAACTTTTCTATTTAGACTACACAAGTTAGAAGAAATAGCACACATGAAATGCTAGGTCTCAGACTCAAGCATGAATAATGCCTTTGCTACATTCTAATACCTATATTAATTAGATTTGGACTGAATGGGCTTTACGGTCTCTGTATATTCCCTAGTTACATCACTATAGGCCATATTTACAGATAAATATGTGCTGATTTAGTTATTAGGATCATAACTTTGTAGAATGCATGGTCATCGAGTGAGCAAAATGAACTTGAAATGAACTATGACTGAGTAACCTGTTGGTGTAAATAGGAGTGAGGCTGTACCTTGTTCCTTTGTGTAGACAAATACAAAATGTTCCCATCTGTAGCACTAACAGTAAGAAGCTTAAGCAGGAATGGACTTGTGGACAAATCTAAAGAAGACTTTGGGAACAAAGGAAATGGGACAGATGTTCTCTGAATGGAGAAAGCCTAGAGGGAGGGATACATTCCAGACTTTTATTGACCCAGGCTTGCACTGCACTAAAGTACTTGCACATGCTGTCTACTTCTCCACCAGAGGATGTCAGTTGAGAGTCCCTGCCCTGAATAAAATCCATAGATTTTGAGACCTATTAACAGCTTTATATACATCTTTTGTGGCAGTTCTACAGAAAACAACATTCTGGACAAAAGCATCTTCAAGAGAGGGTTTGTAAATAGACCTAGGAAAATGTTCCTTTCACAGGATTTGAATTACCTACACTATCTTTCTCTGAGCATTTGAGGATTTACTTTATGGTATTTGAGACCCACAGTTTTCTTTCTCTGCCTTTTGCTGTTCAGCTATTCTTAGCTCTTTAGTCACTGTAGTTGTTGGGCACCAAGACAGAGATGCTAATTTCTAGTAATTCTGTTTCTGGATTGTTTTTTCTCACTCTTCTGTTACAGGATATGATCTCATTTTGGGGATGCACAGATAAATGTCTGCCCACATTTCTTGTAGAGAAATTATTCCAAGCAGCTCACATTAGTATGTGTTCGATCCATTACATCTGTTGTCACCATTGTAAAAAAAACACCAACTATTGCAAGGAATGTTACAACATTGCCATTTTTGCACTAGTAATAGGAGTTTAAATGTATTACATACCAGTCCCAGAACATGAGCAGCATTTGCTTGCTGTACATGGACTGGACCTGAACCAGTAACCTAGAGGTAACAGCCTGTTTCCCATTACTGGTCATCTGATCCATACAGTTTTCTATTTTCTACATATTTGATAAATCATGCAAGACGGTAACAAGACCAAGATGTTTCTTTGTACATTGTACAGAATGATCTTTTGTCTTCCAGATGTTTGTTGCTTTTTTTGGCAACATACACTTTACAGAAAAATAGAAATATTTTTAGATCATTTTATGAGATTATTATTTCTTCTTCAATTTTTTTTTTTTTGTTTTGTATTTCCTTTGCTATTCTAAATAATATATTAAAAAATAAAAAACAAGATTAATATTCTAGAGATAAAGGATATTTGCCAATATATACAGGCTTTCAAATCATAATTAGCCTTTAAAGACAGACATAATATATCTCATAAGAGAATAGTGAAAAACAATCATCACATCACATCAAAAGACATGATATGAAGCTATTCTAGTCTGCTTTTGGAATAAATTGAGAGATCTAGAGAATAACAATACCAGTATTAGCTACAAAGCATGCTGTAAGCAGAGTAATATGTTTATTAAGATGTCATGAAATATTCGTGAAATATTTTTTTCCTCCTATATTTACTGTCAGTATAACTGAAAATGAAACTGTTCCATGTGGATGACCAATTCAGATGCACTTTTAGATTAGGAAGTTAAAAAAAATCAAAAGCAAAGAAATCTGAACATACTGAATGAGTGATAAAACACAACTGGTGAAAACCTGGTCATGTAACAAGTCATCCATGGGCTAGACAACTAGTATAAGCTGGCCTTCTACTACAGTCAGCAGAGAAAGAAAAGAACATCTGAAGAGCTCCTGCCATCAACTCAAAACAGGTTTTGCAGGTATTTATCTCTCATCATTACCTGAAAAAGAGGTAGGAAAAAATTGTAAAGGTTTTAAGATTAGAAAAGGCTCAGGAAGCTGAAATGTGAAAAGAAAAATAAAAGTAAGATGAAAGAAGGTTTGTGGGGTAGTAGTCAGCAGTAATGGAACAGACTGGAAATGTAGATGAGTAAGCATTAGGACCGTGGATCCACATAAGCTGTACAATGAACAGAAATACAGAATGCAAAGAAATTCAGTGAGGGAAATGGCAAGGCTTGAAGCCATCACTCTCCCCATTTTACTTCTGAGGTTTTGTCTACTGATTAATGTCTACAAAAGAATTCTAGGATCAAGACTGATATATTTCATGTAATAAGTTTAAATCTACAGGAGAATCTCATGTGCGCCTTCTCTCAGTTCTCTTTTACTGCAGAAAATATGCTTTAAAACACAAGCAGAAATTCATAACTTAAAGAGAGACATTATAAACTTGAAGGGGCGGTTCTAACACACACTGGCCCACCAAAAGGAACTAGCTCCCCTACTGCTGTTCCAAAACTGTCAAAGGCTTACAAGAAAATACCTTAATTATGGAAGAAGTTATTGGTTTGTTTTTCTTTCCAAAACTGGCACCTACTAGTTTCTTCTTGAATTTTGCATTTAAGATCTTCTTTTCTCTTATTGCGTTGAAAATAAATATTTGCAAGTTAATGTGTAGCTATTTAAATTACAAATTTTGCAGCTCAGAAAAATTACCATTTTCTTGTACAGAACTATAGAAATAGCAGTTAGATTGGGGAAAGTAGTGTCATAAAACTTACTGTGAGATTCTGGAGAGAGAAGGGTAACAAAATTTACAATTTACAAAATTTCTAAATAAACTGATTTTACCTATTCACATTCATTCTCTCAGATGCTAGCTACATGCATGTTTACACTGGTGTATCTTGTATTCTATAACTTTTTTTCCTGCCAGATGTTGGGAGGATGGAGTCTTCACCG